TATGTTTAATAAGACGGCGCTACGTGCCACAAAATCAATGAAACCATCGATCTTTTAAGAAAAAAGTTTCCACACCATAGGTGATCGCAATAGGGCACTGAGATCCTCTGAATTTAACATCTAGCGACTTCTTCCGTTGGAACCAAGTATGAGATAAAGTCTACGCCAACAAGCCAATGTAAAATCAAGACCTCAGAAATGGAAATCTTGAAGCTATTGAGGGCATACAGCAGACACTTATCGATTTATTTATAGAAAACTTCATAAAAAGGGTATGGTTTTGTAAGCGTAGCCGTGGCGGCCACTTGGCTGATTTTCTTATTTCCCCTATTAATGGTACATTGACAACGGAATATTGAAATAAATATTTTGTTATTTTTCTTAAAAATTTGAACATTGAACATGAATATAACACCTCTTATTGGAAGATCCTTCTTACTGAGGTTGGTTTAAATTTTTCCAAAACTGAGGATCTCGTTTGTATACAGACGAACAGCAAGATAGGCGTACAGATACAACTAATCTATAGCTAAATCAACTTAGCTCGTTGCTCTGAACCGATCTACCTCTGCTCTTTCTGCTAATGAGGAGAGCTCGGAGACGCCTAATATTAAGGAAAAATAAAATGCTGCAAGTGGTACAATAATTTCTAAGAAGACCGTGCAGATGCAACATATTAAATAAATGGTAAGTAATCACGTCACGGAATCAGAAAAGGCGCTGATAATGTTGATACATCGATTGATTCTTGTCATGACATTTTTCCAGTGTTTTAGGTATAAAACTCGTGGCAGCTAAATTGATTCTAAATTTATTGAATTTTGAACAACAATAGCGGCGAACATCTCTTCGCTGCAGTCGCGAATTCCTGGATGAATTGGGATGACACTTAGTTCTGTTCCTTCCAACACCAAGCTTAATGATACGGTTTGCCAGGGACTTCATTCGCATGGAATTTTAAGATGGTTCTAATAAAATAATATTTGGTTCTTACTCTATTTATTTTATTATTACCCCATTATATTTTATTATGAAAGAGAAATAAAAGTCTTCCCCATTAAATGTTTCGAATTTCAAGTATATCGAACCATAAATATGATTCTGTCAGATTGATCGGCACCAAAATAAAATTTTCTCCATGCATAGGCCTTGGCAAAGATGGTTTGTTTTATATGTTAAGCAAAACCGGACCATCGATTTGACACCAGGCCCACTCTCCGGAAGAAAAGCTACACCTATACTAAAAATATGCAAATCAAACGATAAATAAAAATGTATTCGATCGGTCCCAAGTCCAGTTTCCGTACGAAAAAATATTTTCAATGTCAATTAAGGCAAAGAAAGCTGGCTCTTTAAAAATAAATTTCATTAAAATCAAATGATTTTAAAATAAATAAGATTTTTCCACTCACATCGGTCGTAGGTCTATATCCCAGTAAATCCTTTCGCATGGGATGACGTTATACGCAGTACACACTCCCTAAGTTGCACATCTCTACGATTACTGGCCTAGGCCGTGGGTGGATCCGTCAGTCAGTACTTGTATATATATACTCGTATGTATATAGATAATTTTATGATAGATTTTGAGCCTTACACTACCTTCGTAATTCTATGCACTTTGCCATTTAATTGTTGCCTACTATTTGGCGCAACCGGTTATCAAATTAAAAAGTTATGAAGGTGAATTTTACAATACCACCCAATAAAATGAGCAAGGGGAAACCACTGAGAGCAACACCTCCCTTCTCGAATGTCCATGTCAATTCAACCGAATTTTTCTTTTTTAAAATTGTTTAGTTTATTCAATTAAAAACTGCATTTTTCTCTATAAGAATCGTGTTTACAAATTACCGAATAACTAATTGTGTAAATGAGCTTAATTATTTTAATTAAAAATAAAATTTCAAATATTTTTGCATTTTAATTGCCCTTATGAGAGCTAAGTGATATCAAAATTAGTTGAATAAATAATACTATTAAAAAATGATTGTAAAAAAAATAAATTAAATAAATATATAAGTACATCTGTCAACAATTTCCGTTATATTAAAAAGTGGAGTTGTTATTCAATACACAATATTATATTTATTAAAATATTTTCGGTTCACAAATTCAAAATATTAAAGTTAAGAAAGAAATATTAGCGGGAAGTAAGAGAACTAATAAATTGCCATGGTTAATCGCTCCAAGCTGGACCTTCGGAATTCTAGAAAAAATCCCTTGCGACTCTGACAAAGACTGGAGCCACATCGAGGGTTTATAAGTTAAGTTGCCGCCCAATAACCACTGAAGTGATTTTCGGCCAAGCCCCCGTCCAATTCATGATGAACCCCAAATAGAGGGGATTGCGCGATTATAGCCGAGCTATTGTAGTACACCAGTCGTTTTCCTGGTTTGCCGACAACTGAATATACCAATTTAAACCTGGTTCACCTGATATTTTTGTAGTTGAAACTTCCATCGTTGCGCACTGCCTTAAAAAATTTCAGAGCTGGAGTTTTCTACCCCCAAGTGTTGCCCGTATTCTTATATGAGCAGTAATTGTTCGCCAAAATTTTCCCTCGAAAACTAGACAGAAAAAATTATCTACGACTTCAATTGTGTCATAGTCAGTGGGAGTCAAGTGACGAATGCATTGACTGTTTGCTTATCCTGTCTCACTACTAGATTCATTTACCTCGCTACCTTAAGCAGTATAGAGAAAGCAAAACCAATAGCGCGACTTTTGAGGCCGGTGATATCGATATTCCTATATAAGATTCTAACTTTTCTACTTAGCCTTCCTTCTCAGCTCTTTGACGCCATAATTAAAAAGCTCAGCCGGTAAGCCATCGGATCTCGAGGCCTTGCTTTGCTTCTGATGGAAAGTTGCTATTCCGACCCCTCTATATGACCATCGGCGTCGATTAGGGAATCGTAATCGTCATTTCTTGCTGTTCAAATATTGCTGTAGATCAGAAGATTGCTAAAGAGGTAGCTTCATAAGGCTAGTATACTCTTTTCATTGATCGTCAGATCAGCAGCTTACTCCGCTCTTCAAACCTTCAAACCTTCTATACCACTCCATCTTCCATAGAATTTTTGAACATTATCCCTGTCCAAGCTCTTCATATTCTCGCATTTCGATGTCTTTCTTTTTCTGCTTGCTAATGCATAAGACTTCTTTCTTTCATTCTCGGTATGGGAATTAGTATGAAATATTACAAGAAGAAGAATTTTTGTCTAGAAATATTCACAGGGTTAGCAACCAACTCTCCGAGATTACTGGTGTCACTTTAAAAGTTCGATATGTCGAACGTCATTCAATTAAAAGTAGACATTTATGCTATTTTTCGAAGGAGTTCTTATTCTGCGTCTAAGTGCAGTTTCACATAATTACGAATACACTAGATGAGGTTCGGTTGCAGTCAGCGTACTTCATACAATCATACTAACGATTTCCAAACAAAAAAAGCTTACATCTGTTCTCTCTTTATTATTATATTACTCATTTGAGAATTACACTTAAGCATATAGTTTGGCATGAGAAAACTTGAGCAAATACGCAGAATAACCAGTGATGTTGTCTACATTTAGGCGTATTCATAAATTATTGCATCGTTAATCCACTAAAGTTTAACTGAAGTATGACAAGCAATGGAAAAAAATATTTCTATGAAGTAATCATAAGGATTGTTAGAAAACAGAAAAAATTGGTAATTTTAGTAATCTCTTCGAACATTTTTTTCTCATTGATATTTTTTTGCCTTTGAAAGCAGTGAAAAGTTTATAAAAATTTCCAAGAACTTTTAAAATTGTTTCTCCTAATCCCTAACGTTTGCCCTGTTTCCTGCTTAAGACGAAAAAAAGTCATGTCCTTAATAATTCATAACAGTTTTTGGTAAGCCAAGGTGGAAGCATAGAAGGAAGGGGGACAATAAGAAGCCTCCGGCTTGAAAATTGACAATTCACGACGTCACTCATTTGCGTTTTTCTTTACTACAACACAATGCACACGCTTTCCCTTTACCGCGTCAACAAACTAGCTTCCTTTACACTTCTCTATGCCTTTAACAAGTTGACAGCCGCCCAATGACGCTGACAGCAGCAACAGCGTGTGCCTTTGATGCGCCAGCAAACAAAATACAATATCTGCAAATCTTCCCTACCACTTGCTGCGCTCTTTACACCATTCCCTTTTGTGTTCTCTTTTTTTCATGTCAAATGCAATACACAACGCTTTTTGCCAAAATAAAGTGAAAATCACGAAAAAAAATTTTTTTTAAACAACAATAAAAATCACTGCTTGCTATTGCCTCTATTTGCTTTGGAAATTTCATGATTTTTTCCCTAGAGAGATGCATAAATTTACATACATACATTCAGGCTTTCATCTGTTTTGATGTATTTATTTCATTAGTTGACATAAATATTTATGCAGGTACGGTTAGGTTGAGTAGAAGTTGCTGATCTGAAAAGGATCTCACATACTAACATCCGTTGGGTTGGTGAATGTATGTGATCCAAGAAATTTCAATGTCAGTTTTGCAAAAACGGGACAGTGAGTGAGTGAGCGAGTGAGTGTCATGGCTTTACTCTTGGGATGGAGAGGAGAGGAGAGAGGAGGGATGGAGAAGATCTTTCAAGAGTGCATGCAGAAGTCTCGGAGTTAGTTCACATCTCGCCCGTCCAAAATTTTTGAATTCACTACGATAAGTCCAAGCCCGTAATAGGCGCTTTGTTATTCATGCAAATATTAGCTTATCTCTTAGAAACCATACTTTGAAGCGATAGCAGCTGTATCCATCTAAAAACGGTCTAGAATTCTAAGCACTCCATCGAGGGATAATTCTTGGCAAAAAGCTTTCGCACCGACTCTTCCATCATGCTTCGAACCATCTGTGAAGAAGTTAAGCGCTCCTTTCCTCTAGCGCCAAATAAAATAAATATATTTTAAAAATATTCAATCAAACTGGAATACAAATATTATTAACATTTTCTTTTGCTTTTCATCACAGATATTATATGGAACGTAAAATTTTCCAACACCTGCTCGAATTGAAGTCCCTCCAAATACGCTCGACCAAACTGAACGAAGCGGTGCTGGTGAAACGCGCCGTTGATGATTACCACAAATCATGTGCGTCGCTTGGTGGTGAGACTGGTACACGCTTGCGGCGTTATCCGTTCAGCGAGTATACATTCAAGAATTTTGAGTTGTTTTTGTACGAAACATTGAAGGCACTGCAAAAGCCGGGCACCTATAATTTTCAGAATATCAATGAGGTTTACGAGGAGGTAAGTGTGCAATCTAGCATTATTTATGTGAGTATTTTACCCAGCAAACAAATTCACCAGTGAATGAATCATTTAGCAGTGCTATGTATTTGAGTTTAACAAGATGATACGGAGAAAATATATGTTGTATTTTGAGGATCAAAAATTACTTATTTGGTATCATGAGCCATAAATAACTCATTATTTGTTATGAATCATCAATGGCTCATTTGATGTTATGAGTTTTAAGCGACCCATTTGATGCAATGCAAGAAAATTTCCATACGGCTATGACTCAGATAGCTTATATTGGCTTTGTGTTATATGAATCATATCTAACTTATTTCACAATCAAAGGCTCAACTTAACCCTTGAGTAGAGAGAGTACAGATAAAAAACTTATTTGATATTATTAGTCATAAATGATTCATTTGATTTTGGGAGTCATAAATGATTCTTTTGCTTATTTGATTTGCTTATGTGAGTCATGAATGATTCATTTGCTGATGAGAGTCATGAATGCTTCATTTGATGCTGTAAGTCATAAGTTACTCATTTAATATATTGAATCGTAAATGACTCAGACTTGATTCAGAGGCTTAGCTTGAGTCTAGTCGAAAGGATTCAGAAAACCCCTAATTTGAATTTTTGGGTCATAAATGAATCATTGTCATGTAATGAGTTGGAAATGAAACATTTTACTACTCATGAGACTTATTTTGGTTTTCAATGAACGTTATATGAATCAAATTTTCATATGATTCTGCTCGAGTTTTACTTGAATTACAACCGTATCTTTGCGCCAGTTGGAAATACCGAGTGAAGCCAGGTCGCTCTCCACCTGATTCTTCCAACGAAGTGCAGGTCCTCTTCGGACTTTATTTTCCAATTGCGTACTAAGTCTAAAGTAGCACCTGTTCTCAAGAAAGATCCTGCGTTGGATTTTAAGGCTGAAGTTGTTATTGTTGTTGATGATGTTTCGTAGACAGACGAAATTATCTACAACCTCGAAGTTATGTCTATTTAGCTCTGCAGCTCTTATTATTCTCTTCAGCATCAAATTAAAGAAATCACACTGTCTGGTCAATAGTTTATTTACCAAGTCTTAAGTCACCTTGATAAGGTGCACAGTCTTTCACAGAAAACGCTCTGTAGGAGCACAGACTGTGGGGTCGCCCTTTTTTGGATTGTTCCAATCGCCGGGCATGCTTTCATCCGACCAAATTTTTCGAAGAAGCTGATGCAAGCTTCTTATCAACTCTACGCCGCCACGTTTGAATAGCTCTGCCGTTAGACTGTCAGCCCCAGCCGCTTTTTTTATTAAGTGGACAAACGCAATTTGAGCTTCGAAATGATCAGGTAATGGAACATATGTTCCATCGTCATCAATTGGGATTTCGGGTTCACCATTTATGGATACTCCATTTTTACTGTCGTTCAGCAGGCTGGAGAAGTGTTCCTTTCAGTATACTCTGTGTATCCGTCACTTGATTACCCCTCTGAACCTCTGGGAACTGCAAAAGTTTGCCTCAGTCTTGAAACCTCCTGTGATTCGCCGTATCTTTTTGTAGAATTTTACCCTGGTCGGGTAGCTTATCAAGCTCTTTTTAATCAGGTATCCCGGCCTTTTTTTTATTTTGTCGGCAAATGCGTTTTGTTTCCCTCTTCAGCTCTCGGTATCTATCGTATCCTGCACATGTTGTGCTCGAACGCAAGGTGGCGAGATAGACAGTCTGTTTTCTCTCCATTGCAGTTCGGCATTCTTCATCGTACCAACTCCTTTTCTGGCACTGTCGAAAACCAATTGTTTCCGTAGCGGCGGTATGTAGGGAGTTTGAGATGCCGTTCCACAGTTCCCTTGTATCAAGTTGCTGATGAGTGCTCTCAGAAAGCAGGTGTGCAAGTGATTAGAAAACCTTAACAGAATAAAAGTACATTTTCTCGCGACTATTATTCGAATTGAAGATTACTTTTGAACTTACAAATCATTCTTATTATAAAATTTAACAGATTTTTTTTAATTTATACTATTTTTTTAGAGGCGTTGCAAATTTAAGCCGTTTCTCAAAAATTTTCGATATTAAAATTCTTAGACCCCATTAGAATGGTTGGTTTCCTTTCAAGAATCATAGCGAATCTTTTTTCAAATGTGCTCAAATGTGATTCTAATCTGCTTTAGAGAAGGTATGACTCATTTTTGACTCTATTTAAACTACATACTTTGTAATTATAGTACCTCTTATACTAAAATTCCAAAATCTTACAAAAAAATAACAAAATTTTTACTCGTAAAGTGCACTTATGCGTTTGCTGGGTACTCGCGAATATATGTACATATGTAAATGCCTCGCTCTGCTTGTACTCAAATGAAAGCCGAGTGAGCGTATTATGATTGACATGTGTTGAAAAAGTAAGCTTCCGGCTGAAAGTTATTGAAAATTATGCGTACTTTATATGCATAGCACTCGAAGGCGCAAGAAGAAAGTAAAAAATAAGAAGAAAAAAAAACACAATAATAAAAAATGTAGAAAGCACAGGATGTAGAATATTGAAAAAAGTGGAGTGCGAAATGTAATAAATTAGATTTTTATTATTTACATACTTTTAGGCTGAACGGCGTTTGAGTCCCGATTACAACGCTTACGAGAAAGCACTTCAATGCACCACCAAAACCCATCGTTGCCTACACGCTGCCCACGCATACACTGGCATACCGTGCGCCGCATACAGTAAGTAAAGTTTAAGTGAAAGTTACAAATATCTTTTTTTTTGTTTTTTTTTTTTTTTTTGAGTAGAAATCACATCAACACACGCACAAGTACATTTGCATCAGTGCACACTTGTAAGTTTAAGTTAAAACGATTTGCTGATGCTTTTATTGGCTGTAAAATCGAATGGCAAATTTGTATGCAGATGATGGAATTAAACTAAAACGAAAGGGTTGCCACATTGCCGATCAGAGGGGAGTAAAGCAAAATCTATCTCAGCGTCGTATATGTTGTATGTGTAGAGACTCAATTCACAGCTTAATGGTGAACATATGTTTTATACACCCGTTTCGGCACACACACACACAGCATGTGCATACGGGAGTATATAAGTATGTAGAAGAGCTTGGCAACATATTCGCCCACAAATCCGTAGATTTTATTCATTCATTTTAGCTTTTGCTTTAGAATATTTCACACAAGTGGCCGCACCTAAGCCGTGTAGTAGGCTTATTTTGCTCCATCGCTTAACTTTACTACTATTTTGAGTACATTACACTTAATTTAACTCACTTAGAATCGTCCAATCATGTGTGACCACCTCCGTAAAGTGGGATATGGGTGCACCATGAAAGTTGTACTACTGAAGTATGGAGAGTCGCAATGGTAATGCTCCAGCGCTTGGCCATTTTCTTTGCATCTCTGCAATCTGCCGACTGCATTTTACCTAGCTTCTGGAGATGATATCTTAGGGTAGATGCCCCATCAGATGGGCCCATGTTTAGAAGTTCACGTAAGTGAGGAAAATTTTTGACTGACTTTTACCTGGGAGGAAAAGTTTTTAATAATTGATGCGGTTAATGGTGAACTTGATAGTCTTATGAAGGCTGTTTTCAGAAGTGGATCTACAGGATTGAGAAATGCGTTGAAATCAATGGTGCTTATTTATCGAAGGTAAAAGAGGACAAATATTACGAATAAATACAAAAATATTTTATTTTCTGGTCAAGTTACCGCACTTTTGTTAACCTTCAACCGGTCGCCTGTTGTCGAACCGACCGCGTTGATTATATTTTCGTTCATAATTATGTTATATTTCGCTTCATAGTTGCCTTTTTCTGAATTAAAGTTACTTATTTTGTTTGTTTGAGTCGTAAAACAATGCTAATATATCTAATCAGTCTTTTATTTCTCTAGTATTTCTTTTGGGTCTTTTCGACTACTCGCGACCGCTTGAGGCTTAATCGCCCCAATGTAGCTTTTCTTAATAGAAAACGTGTAATCCGTTCGAAAAAAAGAAATTTTTTAAATAAGCAAAAAAAGTATACGATATATCCCCCAAAGGTGCTCATAGGGTTAATTGGTTATAAGGCCTGAATTGCATATAGAGAGAGAGCTTAAGAAGGTCAAATAAGCATATAAAGTTGCTGGTGATTGAAATTTTCCTCCGCATTCTTCTCAAAATAAAATCTCACGCAAGCAACTTCGCTGCATGGAAACCAAAAAGTTTGCATAACTAAAATAATAACAACAGCTTTTCACAATTTTAATTTATTTATACGCACGTGCTGACAAAGTCAACTACCTTTGCTGCCGACGCAGCATGGGCACGCTTAAGCATCGCATCATGCCATTCGCTGTCATGCCATTCGCTGCGAGTAATACAAAGTGCGCGCACACAGCGAGGCGATCAACAAACGGCTTTGTCACCTCGCAAAGGCCTAAAAGCCGTATGGAAGTAAACTAATAACTACCACAATCGACCGTTTGCCCACTTTGTCGCAGGCGCCGCGCAAACAAAGCCTTCAAATCGCGGCTTGCTGTGAAGCAACGCACAACTAAATATTTACACGCCAATGATGAAGGCAAAGTAGAGAAGAATATAAAGCGTCAAAGTCAGTACAGGTGAGTGCGGTAAGCGTAGATATGTGTTTAACCAGCATAACAAGCTGATTTTAGCACCAGCGTTGTACAGCCGCCGACCCGCACCGTCACTTCCACAGCTGCTCTCTCTAGTCGGCATTGTTAGCTACCAAATCTTTTGCAAAATAAAATCTCGTTTTTCCACTCTCCATTTCCTCGTTTTTTGCTCAACATAATCTAAAGCAAACGCCTGTCGTCCAAGATTTTCCGCCTTCCATCAAAGTCAACGCTCAGCTGCCGCGCCCGCTGCTATGAATAGTGCTTATAACTAACTAAGCGCTTCAGCGGCTCTTCTGCGCTATCTTCTGTCACCTGCATTCTATTTAAATTTTAATTCTCGCTTAATGAGTCACTTTTTTCTGGCTCTATCTCTTTTTCTCTCTCTGTCTCGCACAATTCGCACGCCTCTCCCCGTACATATTTGCTGCTGGCCTTTTAACCTTTCTTCTGGCTTTCCATCATCATTCCTTTCCTCCGTCCTGCCTTCGCTGTACGTTTGTCTGTCAGCTTTTTGTCAACGTGTTGCGTTCCACCTGCCCTCGGCCGTTGCTTACTTACTTAGTTCTTTAGCTGCGTTCAAAGGATTTATGCTCTCTACTTTATTTTGTGTAAGCGGGCCGATTAGAAGCTTGTCAAGCTCAACCGCTTTGTTTAAGTTTGTTTGGAAAATTAAACAAAGCGGATTCAAAGAAGCGCACATATAAATATGTACATATATAAATATAACTACATAAATAATATGCATATCCAAAATGGTTGCCGGACATTCTGAAGCTGTTTTTCTTCTAAACTGTGCTGAGCGCAAGAAGAAACCGCAAAATAAAATTACAATAAAATTCTTTTCATTGAAATTAAAAGTTTAAAGTCGCTATGTGGTGTAAGAGAAAAGGATCTCACTTCCACTTTTTGCTGTTGCCGCGGACTTAATTAATGTTGTTTTCATTGTTAAACTTTTTCGAATTAAAGTTTTGAAATTTGAATTTGCTTTAATTCGCTTCCATTTCATAATTAATAAGCTTTTGTTTGAAAAAAATGTTTTTTTTTATATGCACGGGTGGAATCACAAAAGTCCGGTTAGTTAGTCAGAAAAAAAAAATATTTTTTGTGGCCATTCGTAATCTTTGTCCTTTCTTATCTTCTCTACATAATCGTCAATCGACTATAATCGCGTAAGCGACGGTGCCAACGCGAATGAAAAAGAAGAAGACATAATCGCCATTGATTTCAATGCATTTCTAAAGCCTATATATCCACTTCTGAAAACAGTCTTCAACCTCTGGCTTTTAAGCTTATCAACTTCAGCATTAACCGCCTTAATTATCTCCTCGTTGCTATTAAAGACCTTCCCTTTTCAAAGTTTTTTTAAATTTTTGGCAATAACCAGAAACCAAGAGTTGCTATATCCGGTGAAATATGATGCTGGACGTATTTCCTCGATCCCAAAGATCGTTGTTTCAGCAGTGTGTGATGACTCGTTGTGTATTATGTAAAAAGTAGCGCCGAAAATCCTCTCTCGTCCTGTTTTCACACAGATTATTAAAAACTTTTGGTGAACACCCTTTGGTGTCCCATTTTGCTGCTACCGTCTGACCCTTTCTCGGTAGAATAGCAGCTCCGCTTTTAGATCGGTTGAAGTGCACTGACATCATTACTTTTGCCGCTGATTTTTTTTGTTTAGAATTTACTGCTGGGTTTGCTCCTGTTGGGCTTCATACCATGGACGGCTGTTTGGTTTCTGGATCCTACTTATAGAACCAAGACCTGTCACCAGCAATGACTATACTAATGTGTCCTAGATTGACCAATTTCGAATTTGTTTAGGGAAAATTGAGCAAAATGCAATCGAGTCTTTTTTTAGGGCCTCATTTAAAATAAGTGGTACCCACCGAGCAGATTTCTGCGTGCATACCAGATGATTACTTAAAATTCGCGAAACAGCCACGACATTCAGGCCCAATTTCTTAGCAATTATTTCTTGTGTCAATCGTGGGTCTTCGTCAATTTTGAACTTCACCACAGCTACAGTGACGTCATCAGTAAGAGATTTTGGTCGACCTTCCCGGGGCTCGTTCTCTACGAAAAATGTCCGGTCTGAAATCTTCGAGACCACTTAGAAATAGCCTCTAAAGGCGGTGCGATCGTTCCATATGAAATTTGGCACTCACCGAATATTTGCGTTGGCTGTAAATTTCGCCGAAATCCGCAGAGAATCACTTGGCGAATTTCTGTTTGCGCTGGTGTTGGTATTTCGGCCAACGAAAACATCTTCAGCTATCTTGTGTTTTCTCGTCTCTATTTTGGCCGATCGTTCTTAAAGTTGAATGGAAGAGTAATAAAGTAATTGCAAAGGATTTGGTGTTTTTAGATTTAGCAAAAACAAATTGACCTGGTGATTGGTCCTCGATCTTTTCTTAAGCCCGCCGTATTCTGTTGAGAAGTAATTAAATTTTTTGGTTTTTTTTTTCAAACTCAAGACGTATTCGTTAATTGATGTTCTCATATCAAGTACTCTTCTGTCCAATGCATACAATATTATTCGCGTGTCCTTTCCATTTCCGTATCTCATTTTTGTTTATTGTAAACGCCCACTTACCACCACACGTACGTATGTACATATGTACTACATGCGAGGAAAAGAATACTTACTTATAGTATGTACATATATCAAATGAGTTTTCCTCATTTCCCGCAACCATTTCTTCGCATATCCTTTCCATGCTACTCTTCAGGCTTAAGAATTCGCTTTTACTTATATTTAAATGTCACTTTTACTTCACATTTTATTTATTTTATTTTGATGCTTCGTTTTCATCTCGTCGACGTTGTCACTATCGTTACAGTTTGTTTGTTGTTGTTCGTGTTGTTGTGCTCCTTTTTCTTACTCCTTTTACACTTAAGCGTGACAGTGTACATATGTATGGGCCATACTTTCGTTATTGTTGTTGCTTGCCCGTTTTATTGTCTTAATGTACTCGCCCACAGCTCGTGCGCGCGAATGAAACAATTTCTCAGTGCGTCCCCCTAGGGACAGACCAACTGCAGCGTGGAATTTTTATTATAATTTCCTTTTCGCTGTTGTTGTTATTTTTTTGGTTTTGAAAATTATTTTCTTTAATTTTCAATAGAGCAGCAGCTCATTCTTCTTCGTCTTCTGCAACTGGCAGTAGTTGGTTGGTCTTCTTCTCATCATTCGCCATTCTCTTCTGCGTCAAGAACGTCTTCACGACAATTGCTGCTCGTCGTTGCTTCATTTTAGTTCCGGAAATATCTTAGTGATTTTCGGTTGATTCATATGCTTACATATACAAGTGCACGTAACTATATGTATGTATGTATGGGTGGCTGTATGCACGTCATATGTAAGCGATGAACATTCCTTACAAATTTGTGTTGAGCCATTTGTGGTGCTCTGGGTTGTGTGGCGTTGCTGTTTGGTGTTCCGAAATGCAGTCTCTGCTGCGGTTTGATGTGGCACTGCGTTGCTGCATTACTCTGCTGTCAGTCAGTGTTTATGTATGTATGTGTTTGTTTGTACTCATGAAAGTGGTGAGTGAGTCTCCGCAGGCGGTGATATCGTGGGTGCCATCTACAGATCTTCATACATACATATGCACACATACAGACACACATACGGAGCCACCAGTTAACTGTCTACATTTCATGCAAACAACAAAAACGCCAAACGGAATGAGCAGCAACAGTCAGCTGAAGCAGTTTATTTTGGTTAAGCAACAGCAAAACAAAAAAAGACAAGAGAATTAAGAAAAAGAAGAAGAAGAACACAACAACGACAAAAGAAAACACCCGAAATTTCCTAGTGAGAATAATGCGAATATAAACATAAAACAATGGACATAAAATGATTTCTCATGTGTGGCACACATACATATGTACATTCGTACTACAATGCACAGTTATAGCCATAAAATACTTCCCCACAAACGGACGAAAGGAAGTGGTAAAGTGGTGAAGTTTATACTTTATCCCCATTGGAAACAGTGCACTGAACCTTTGTGTGGAGGAGGTTGAAACGAACTTCTTAAAGAGGTAACAGAAAGAAACTCGCTCTTTATGGGAAGCTCTTTAAAAGGACTCGAAGTACGCTCACCTTGACGTACTCGTTAGAGCCGGCGTTAGTTTTTGATCTTCACAACTTAGTTTCGCACGTGCTGCCTTGACAGGGCTAAGATCAGACCTTGTTCGGTATTGATATGGATGCCGGCATAATCTCTGTCCGGTGGTCGCCTTAACCGAGTGCCTAGCATTGCGTATTACCATGCAAAGGATAAGGGGTTTAATTAATACCCGGACAAAAATCCCAAATTATGGAAAGCTAATTTTGCTAATCACAGTCGCTCCTCGGCAGACATCGCCTCTTTACGTATATTTCGTACATAAAATTAAAACTCCTCATAAAAATCCATCAACCGTCACTCTAACCTTTTTTACGACGAACCCAGTAACCCAGCATTAGACACCTGCCAGCCAACCGATTGAGGAACTCGGCTGAAGGATAATCGTAAGATCCCACATATCGGTGACCGCAAATCAGTGGCAGTCCGGACTGCGCTGAATCCAAGTTCGTTCGTAGTAAGTATCTGTAACACTTGTCCCTTACACTAAACAGCTACGGATTGGCTCATCAGTTGCTATAAAAAGTACATGGAAAAAGAAGAAGGAAATTACTTAATTATTTTAAGCACTCGGTAAGTAGGTTTTGATACAGAAAAACGAGTCAGAGGAATCAATGTTGCCAAAAGGTGCATTTCAAATGCAAGAAGACAATGAGGCATATGGACGAATTTTAAGAGGTGGTAAAGTTGAGTTCACTATGAATTCCTTTGTACGGAATCCAATCACTGTACAATCGATCGTAGAGACCATTCAACTGACACATATTCCAAAATGGGTTCAACTTGTGTAAATGAGAAATTAATTTGATAATTTATCGGTTATTGAACTCCTTAGCTCAACGTTTAATGAAAGCAAAGACGGCTTCTGATATATTAGAAAAGGATTTTATATGGTTTCTAAAATCCAGCTTAGTGTCCATTATTACACCTAAATCGATGAAGTTAGTAACTTCATCATTCTGATTACACGTACGTAGGAAGGCAGAGTAATAGGACGAGGTGACCCTTGAGAAAGGAAGGAGGCAACCCGAAATGATCGAGTTAAAAGTGAAGTAAAGAATGAGAGATCTTCTCATAAACCTTGCTGAACTTAGTGCAGATAAACCATTACTGACATTGGTGGGGAATTCGAGGGAAGCTTTTCCTTTACGATAATTTGAGTACTTGATTTTTATAGGAATTTCGAACATTCTGCTCTACTCACTTTGACTTTCTTTCATTCATACGCCCGAGGCGAAGCCAGATGATTGACATATAAAAAAAAAGGTTTCTAAATGCGATGGTCCCAGCAGAAGATGTTAGTATCGAGGTGGGTATTTCTGAGAGGAAAAGGAGAGCGTTTCATAAAAATCCACTAGTCACTCGACGGTTTAACTGCAAAGCCATTCGAAGAAGAAATATCTTGACACGCAGCCACTGCCAAACAATAATACTGTTATATTTTCTAAATAGCAAAAAAAAAAAATCAGTCTGCATTATTTGGCACCCTCCAAGTATAGGTACAATTGCTAAAGGACATAAAAGGTACGGCAGAGGAATTTTTTAATTGTACGCTGTGTCAGATAAATGCTGGTACTACGCTTTCCATGTAAGATTGGATATGGCTGTGGGAATCCACAAATGCATTTCACTTTGCGTTATCGCTTCAAGGGTACCCATTTTCTTTTACGCCTTTTTTTCCGGCTATTCCGCTCTGATCTGGTGCTTTCATCGGTTTTACCTAAAAATAATTCGATGCTGTTGGGAAGAAGGGAGAGTATTCTTTAATTAAAACTTACAGCACTATAAATTCATCTAAGGTCAATATTAATGCTTGGATCACTGGTAAATCTGATGTCGTTACCTGAAATGATACTCCGAAGCAATGAAAGGGCAGACATTCCTTCCTCAGAGCCTAGAGCAATTATACATATATTTTAATAAAATTTTCTATAACTTTTTTAAGTAATCAACCCCAAGACTCTTCGCCTGTTAGTACGTAAAGCAATTGCATACTAAACTCTTACCCATACAGAGTCCCCTAACGATCCCAGCCAATCACTGTCTTGTAGGTTATTCGAAATGGAATTAAACAAGGATTCCTCTCTTTTTGTCAAAAGTTGTATATTTGCACTAACTATAATTTCAGATTGTATATTATCTGAATTTTAAGATTCCTTAAGCCGCTGCTGCAACAACTTCGCGTCTAAAGCCATAAGTTAATTAAGAAAAACTTTTCAGCGACAACGAATCGACGAATATATCCTCAGTTACGTCAAATTTTATCTTCAGGCAAATGTTTCCCAGAAAAATTTGGAGGATTTCATAAAGAATAAGAATTGAGAGTTCTTGTGTGAGCCTGAAGAAATAAAGATAAAAATAGTTAAAATAGCACCGTGTTGTATCTAAAGGCACGAGGGAAATGTACTGTTGTATTTTCCGTTTGCTTTTTGAACTTCGGCTTATTTGAACTTTCACATCTTGAATGACGTTCGCGATATCACTCAGATTTCCTTATTCAGTACAAGCTTAGTGGCTTACGAAATTGTTAAGTTATCACCTGAAACATACTTACCATGGAAACAGTGAGTTTTTAATGGAAATGTAAGAAAACTATGCACGAATTTGGCGCGTAAAGACTGGTCTCTCAGGTAGCTAGTGCTTCAATTTGTGCAGTGATTTCGCCAAACCGCTTCGTTATTGAACAGAATAGGTCAGAATTGTGCGCCTAGAAGAAAATATTTCAGCTTTAGTTCGAAGACTGTTCGAACAATCATCAGTTTGATACATCAACTCGACACCGTTCGATGGAATTTAACATGTCGCGTACTTCTTTGCGTAAGATACTCTTCATAAAGACCTCGATACAGTTGTCGATATAGTCTAATTAAACCAAATACTGACATACCAACGCCAGCCGGTGCGATCGCTTGGCAGAAGATGATCATTTTTATCAAAAAATCATCTTTTACGATAAAGACTTTTTCAATTCCACCGGTTGTTGGCCGAGCTTCTCTTCCAAATTTTTGGTGCTGCGCCTTGATGGTTACAGTTTATTCTAAGATTTTTATGAGGAGCCTTCAATTTTGAATGTTGATCGGACCAGGTCTCGAAGTCTGGCCTCCTGAATGGAATGGAATGGTCGCCTAATTCTTGCAATCGGGACTCAAAGAAATAAAAAGTCCACACGTGCATATATGGACCGGTGGCACTATTCCAGCAGTTTCTACTTAGTCTCTTATACCTTAAAGCATTTGCTGTAGATTGGAAACACTCGTAGATGCTTAAAGATGGCATCCACGATTTTGTTACAAAATTGCGTTCTCTGTAATTTTAAATTTTATTTTGTATTTCCTTTTTTTTCTTGTTTGTATTGTACTCTTCTGCTCTTTTGTGGGGTTGAATTTCACAAAATCAAATAACTTAAAATTCTACTTTGCTGACAGCGCGTGTTTGCCACTGAACAGAGTGACGTACTGTCGTATCTCCCCTCCCACTCCACTCCAGCCCTTCAGATCAATCTCCCTCTACACTCTCTTGCTCATTAATTACACACTGAAATTCGCCAAATGACTTAATCTTGTGTAAAATTCGTTGTAATCACTTTTTTGCACTTTAATTAGCTAAGAAATTTCTCAACTTTGTATTTGTATTTGTGCAGGAGTACACGCGCTATCAAGTATAACAAACTAACTGTTTATATTTATATTACTATTGTTTTTGTTTCTACACTTCTTCTTCTTCTTCATCATCTTCTTCTTCTTGTTTTTCTTCCAGTACCCATGATGAATCATCACACAATGCCAAAGTTTGGATTTGGTCCATATAAAAAGACCGGCGTGGGCAGCTTCTACCTACCGAAAATACTCACTAGCGGCAGTTGTGGTGGCGTCGCGAGCGGAAGTGGTTGTGGCGGTGGCGGTAAAGTTGCATTGGAGCTATCACATGGCAAGAGCAAACAACTTATTTCACTGCCATCGGACAAGTTGGACAGTAATAAACGTTATTACGTTACGTTCACCGTAAAGGAGACGAGTAGTGGTGGTGGTGTTGGTGGAGGAGGAGGTTGTAGTGGTGGTATCTCGACAACTGCAGGGTGTGGCGGTGCGCACGTTGACCAAACGGATGCCGCCGGTGTTGCGGGTGATAAACAGGCAACTGGCGGATGTTGTGGTGGCAACGATGCAACCGGAAAGTGAAACAACCGTTGAATCCTCCGCACAAACATATACTGGCATACAAACACAAGCACACACACACACGCACACACAATTACATACAAAATATTAGTCCATCAGCCGAACAAGTTAATAACAAACGGAAATCAAATGCAATAATGTCGTGTGCATTTCCTTCGCAGCGCGCAGTGCAGTGACGGTGGCGTTGGGACGCCGCTGGGGATGGGGCGGGAATTTTGGCGTAGCGCATAGGGCGGAAATGCCATGATCGTAAAAGAGTAAAGTTTATTTTTATATAGCTGCTGGCGTACATTGGTACACATATAATATGTAAAAAATAACGGTATTGCAGTGAAAAGCTTGGATTTATTGCTTTATTGGTTCAGCAGCGCTTTGATAGCTTTTTTTTTGCTTTTTATATTTTGTTTTTAATTTTTCGATTTTATTTTATTTTCCCATTTCTCTTTTTTATAATTTAAGCTCTGAGCTAGTGCCATTCGGATATATCTCGGGTTCAAATCCTGGTTGGAGAAATCATCAAGACGCAAAACCACAAATTGAAGGAGGAGCTCGGCCGAAAATCACTTAAGCGGTTAAAAAGCGCCAATTATATATATATAAGCTCTCTGTCCACCCCAGGGTGCTATGTGTGTAATATGTATATAATTCACTCAAAAATTTAATGCACTCCAATTAAAAGATAAGTATTTTATTACTCCCCAGAGAAGTGATGAAATTATTGGAAAATTGTCTCATATTAAATTTGAATTTATGACCGTTATCCAATGAAATATTAATCGGCAGTAGGTGAGGTCGCTTAGTAGACGAGTAAGAGATGAAATCTCGGGAAAAGTTTACGTGGGTGATCCAAGTCGAGATAATTTTTTCAAAAGCAATCTGACAGATCACGCATGAGTCATATTATTTGCTTTCAGTATTGGTCGGCATTTCATCATGGAAAGACTGACGCCGGAACAACTTTTGCGAATCATTCAACTTTATTACGAAAGTTCGCGTTCTGTAAATATGGTGTTTCGGGCGCTTCGCTCAGCTTACCGTCCACATAATCGGCCTACTGAGCATAATATTCGCTACACCATCACCCATATTGAGCGCCAACTTTCATTATTGGAAAATACTCGACCGAACACATCACGTCCAGCACGCTGTGAAAAAAATACAGCGGCCGCAGCTGAGATTGTACACGAAGACCGTGGAGAATCGATTCGGCGCCGTTCGCCGCAACTCGGGGTGACGTATGGAACGACTTCGGGATCGGGATCTCAAATTGAAAGCGTACAATGCACAGCTTGTGCAAAAACTAAAGTCGCTTTAACTTTCCAAGCGACATCGCTTCACTACATAACCTCTCGGAAAGTTCCAAGAAGATCAGACGTTTTAAAACAACATTTTGTTCAGCGATGAGAACCATTTCTTGCCGATGGGTATGTAAACAAGTAAAGAAAGCATTTGGGACCGGTGAGAATGTGACCGTCTTGGTGATAACGCGCGGCGATGCGCCTATCGGATGCCTGAAATTCGAGCTCGTGCTCTCGGCGACATTTGTGTCAACAAGACAGCGTGACTTCCCACATATTACAGCAATCAATGGACTTATGGAGAGAACACTTGGGTGAGCAGATAATTTCATGTTTTAGGCCGGTCGATTTTTCAGCAAGATCGTGTGATATCACAACGTTAGACTTTTTCCTGTATGGACTTTGGAGCAAAACATCACGCGTGGCATTCGCCAGTTACCAGCCGAAACTCACGTACGAGTCATAAAAAACTGCACTCAACGGTTGGACCATCTGAGACGTAGCCCCGCCTAACATTTGAAAGAGATAGTCTTTTTTAAAGGTGTAGTCTACCGGAATATGAAAAAAGATCGAGTGTTTTGAAATTTCACACTAGGTGTGCCCCTTAAGGCGTATATTTTTCTATTGAATATGTTGGGTTGCCCAAAAAGTAATTGCGGATTTTTCATATAGTCGGCGTTGACAAATTTTTTCAACGGCTTGTGACTCTGTAATTGCATTCTTTCGTCTGTCAGTTATCAGCTGTTACTTTTAGCTTGCTTTAGAAAAAAAGTGCGCGAAATTTTGTTTACATTTGTTTGTTTGGCTTCAATTTTAATATGGAGCCCACAAAGGAGCATTTTCGTCATATTTTACTTTATTTTTTCCGTAAAGGAAAAAACGCGGAGCAGGTTGCTAAAAAGTTACGAGATGTGTATGGTGATGAAGCCTTAAAGGGAAGACAGTGTCAAAATTGGTTTCGCAAATTCCGTTCTGGAGATTTTTCACTTAAAGATGAGCCACGTTTAGGTCGGCCAAATGAAGTTGATGATGACCAAGTCAAAGCATTAATCGAATTGGATCGTCATGTAACTGAGCGTGAGATAGGAGAGAAGTTGAATATACCAAAATCAACCGTTCATTATCACATCAAAAGTCTTGGACTGGTGAAAAAGCTTGATATTTGTATTAAAAAAAATTCATTTAACACACCGAATGTGATATGCACCTGAAACGCCATGAATTCGATCCGTTTTTAAAACGAATCATAACTGGAGATGAAAAATGGATTGTTTACAACAACGTTAGTCGAAAACGATCATGGTTCAAGCATGGTGAATCAGCTCAAGCCACTTCAAAGGTTGATATCCACCAAAAGAAGGTTATGCTGTCTGTTTGGTGGGATTGGAAGGGTGCCGTATATTTTGACCTGCTTCCAAGGAAGCAAACGATTAATTCGGATGTTTACTGTCAACAATTGGACAAATTGAATACAGCCATCAAGGAGAAGCGACTAGAATTGGTCAATCGTAAAGGTGTCATATTCCACCAGGATAACGCTAGACCGCACTTTGGTCACTCGCCAAAAACCATATAGCCCTGACCTTGCACCATCAGACTACCATTTATTTCGATCTTTGCTGAACTCCTTAAATGGTAAAACTTTCGGCAATGATGAGGCTATAAAATCGCACTTGGTTCAGTTTTTTGCAGATAAAGGCCAGAAGTTCTATGAGCGTGGAATACTAAATTTGCCAGGAAGATGGCAATAGGTTATCGAACAAAATGGCAATTATAAATTTTATTAAAGTTCATTCTAAGTTTTATTAAAAATGCATTTCCTTTCTATTAAAAAATCCGCAATTACTTTTGGGCAACCCAATAGCACTTCCTTTGCTCTTTTTTCCTAAAAAGAAAGTTTTTTATTTACTAAATCCTAGTATGCATTGCTTTTGTCCTTTAGTTTTTGGTTTGATTTTTATCTTTTACTCCATTCGATGTATAATATTTTATTTTTATTTCTATTTTTCTTTGTTTTTTCTCTATCCCTGGTTTCCACTGACCAATGCGTAAGTTTGGTGTTTCGCTCACAAACAATTGTCTTTATATGGTAGCATACTTTAGGGCGTTTTATATGAATTTATTTAGCTTTTCTCTACATGCGTAGTTGTGCTTGAAAGTTGTTAAATTCTTTCCAATTCCACAGTCACTTCATTACGAAGTTGTATGGCTCGAAGGACAATGAAGACTCGAAAAAGTTTGGTTTGTTAGCTAAAATCATGGCATGGCATGAGTGTTGCAACTGGATTCGTGTCGTAAATGCTTCGAAAATTCATAGTTTTTGGTTTTAATTTTCAGTAACTGTGAGCTTTAAATTTTGATTAAATAATAAAGTTTGCTTATTTATTCGAAGTGCTTAGAGTGTATAAAGAATATGGTGGATGATGGGAGTGCGCTTAATATACATATTTTTAATTTTTTTTGTAACTTCCTTATTAAAAAAAAGTCGTTGTTGTTGTTGTTATTGAGTTGTAACCGCAAAATTATTCCCAATTGTACTGTCACTCTCGTTCTTGGCCGGATAAAAATCCGTTCCGGTATAAGGATCCGACTGTCGCGGGAACTTTGGAATTTTAGTCGCCTCTAAATACAGGCATGCCTTACCGCGGTTAAATTCTTGAAGCCCTAACCCACAATGTGGCTTTAAAGAAAGTTCAGGAAAAGCTGCTTTAGAGGTAAGAAAAAATGCCTTAAACTTTTTAAATCTTAAAGGCGGTTAGTTTTTGCTTTTCCTTTTCTAATACTTGGTTGTCCCGTGCAACAAGCAAAAAGGAGTATTTGGAAGAAGAATCCTTAGAAAATTGGTGTAACTTTGGTACGCAAAAAAAAAAGAAGAAAATAAATTACCTCAAATAGGAAGCATGAAAAAATAGGCGAAAAATCTTAACATAAAAAAAACCTTATTTTTCCGCACACTCCGTTCCGCTTCTCTCTATTTCAGAGACAACTCTCTTTTCTTAGCTATCTGAGTAATTGTTTTTTCTCTGACTTGTGACTAGTTAAGTGCCTATCATGGCAACATAAGAAAGGAGAATTTCCTTAGTATGGCAGCACATGCTGTTGGAAACCGTGCACAGGAATATTATTTATTGGTCTAGTAAAAGTTCATCCATTGTTTGTGCAATAGATGGCTTTAGTGATCCATATCTCACGTTCTTTAAGCGCAATTGGGTTACGCCAGATGGCGTTAAATGGATAATATTTTTTTTTTTTAATAAAAAAGATAAACGAATAATTGTTGATCACTTAGCTTGGTAGTATTCGAGTGCATGTCAATGGTGGACACCAGTAAATATTCCACATTCGACAGGTTTTATTCGATAAAAGCCACAAGAGACCACGTAGAGCAAGGTCAAACGAAAACGTTTGTGGTCAATAATATTTAGGCGGCACAAACGGCCAGGTTTTTTGTGCCAAAATCTCAAGTCGTAACTTTGCTGTCAGCAATCGGACCACCTGTGGAGTCTATTGCTCAGAAGTGCCCATATTTGGACAACAGGACTAGAATTGTGTTTCATCAGGACAGCGCCAGGCCATACACATCGATTGTAAGCACCAAAAGCTTTACTAAGGGCTTGGTTGGGGGGTTCTTATACCTGCCTATGGGGAATAAATTGGGTGGCGAGGAATTAGCCTAAAAAAAAAGGCTGTGAATATCGTTTG